TTTTTTTTTTTTTTTTTAAGAACGAAAATAACAAAGGAATTTTAGGCATACAAATTATTATACAAAAATTGATGATCATTATACGATTGCAAGACTTGCTTTTAGCCTGGGAGTTGGGTATCGTCGTGTTAATGTCGATATCGATAGTAGAGTGGTGGTAGATGTGGTGACTGGCCAGACCGAAGTACATGAGGTATATAGTAGTCTTGTCCGGGCCATACAGGAGATAAGGAACCGTGACTGGAATGTGGAAATATGGCATGTCTACCGTGAATCAAACTTTTCGACTGATTATTTGGCTTCGTTAGCGGCGTCGGGCCCTGGTGGGTTGCAACGTCTAGAATTCCCGCTGGCAGGATTAAAACCTTGACTCGAGCACGATGTTGTGGGGGTTGCCTACCCTCCTAGGATAGTGTCTTGAGTCTTCTCTATTTGAGTACCCAAAAAAAAAAAAAAAAATTCAATATTCTAGGCAAGATAAAGTTGGAAGAGAAAAAACAATAAAACGCAGCTCGCAACCCTACGACTGAGTTTATTTTCTGGCGTCACTCGCATTTTCACTATCGCCATTTCAGATCAGCTCATTCACCTGAGCATCGCAGAGAGAGGAAAGATGAGCGGAGCCGCGAAGAAGGTGGTTGACGTGGCATTCAAGGCTGGAAGGACCATCGACTGGGATGGTATGGCGAAGCTGCTCGTCTCCGACGAGGCTCGCAAGGAGTTCGCCACCCTCCGCCGTGCTTTCGACGAGGTCAACAATCAGCTTCAGACCAAGTTTAGCCAGGTCCGTCGCCTTACGCCTCTTATTTTCTGTCCCTCTTTTTGTCTATATTTCTAGGTGTATGGTTCATTTACGATTCACATTTCGCACTCGTCGTGCTAGGTGGGTAACGGCTTTCCAGATCTATTGATTTTGGCTTCTTATTTTGTTCTATTATTTGCCATGGTGGGGGAGGTTCTCGTATAGTTTGCTTATCTGGTTTGATTTGTTTTTGTTTAGATCTATACAGTGATGACAGATCAATTGAGGGGATTATTTTGCTCGTGGATTGTTTTTCTGTAAAGTTTATCTTGTAAATCAAGATAATGGTTTGAAGTCTTGATAAGATCCATGTGAAGTTTGTTGGAGGGGTAGGGATTCGAGAACCAATGAAAGCGGCTCTTAATACAGTGGTTGAGATTGTGAGTTGGAGTGAATTTTCTGCATTTGAAAATTGAATGGGGAAGAGGATAATATTCATTTGCAAAGTGGTACCTTATAAATTTTTGCTGACGGGCGACACTTGCACATCCCTACTAACTGTTCGGCTGTTCCTTTCCTGTTTTATCAGCTGATGATCCTTTTCATACTTGTTAAAGTCTGGATAAGCTGTTTGTTTCTCTTCAATGGGCTCTTCCATTACGTTTGTTATATTTTTTTGGTAAACTTAGCCATTACTGAGTGTTATGATCCCATGTGAGATGGAGACCGTAGGAGTGCAATCTATATTATTGGTCACATTCATTGAAACAAGCTATAGCTATCTTATTATGAAAGTCAAG